ACGCGAGCGAACGTACACCGGTTAGCTGTTTCTCTCTTTTTCTCGCTCAATCTTTCTCTCCCTCTCTCTCTCTCTCTCTCTCTTTCTCTCTTTCTTTGAAGCGGAAAATTAAATAAAGCAACTTTCGATTTTCCTATACATCCATACTCGCAAATACTCGTTTGTGTCTTGTGTTTATACATACATACAAAATACACGTTCGCATCAAGACGTAAACGCGTGACCTAGTTTTGGGATGCTCTCCGCGGAATGAGTATATGTGCATGCGAGCATTCACGATACATATTGTACTCGTCGGCAACTCGTGTTTTTCATACACGTGCGCGCAAATACATACTAACCTTGCCTTTTCTTTTCAATCGGCGTTTTATATGCACGTTTAACTTGAAGCATTGCTCCTGCTTCTTTCCTTTCAATATCGCATATACATTTGCGAGTCTGCGCTTCTATTAAAAATACCTCGGCTAAGAATTCAATTTTCCTATATCATTCGAAATTGCACTTTTAAACGCATCGCACGAAAATAAGTTTCAATTTATGGTATACAGTCGATCGCAAGATCTTAATTAGCAGGCTTTGCATCTAGATTGCTTTTCTTCGCTCGATACAATTCATTAGAAACTTTAACCATTAATAAAGCGAGTCTGTAAGCGTGATTGGAGTAAACATAAACATATTGGAGTAAAGTAAAAGCCACAAGTGTCAATAAGTGATGGCCAGGTCTCTGGTCTATTTACACAGTCAGCCCTCCCCCATCTTGAGCAATTTTACGTTCGATTCGCTGGCAGTAGGATGAAAATCAATTTCCTGCTCAGGCTGTAGTCACGGCCTGTTTTTCGTCGACTGATAAGCATTCGCGGGCCACGCCTCCAGTGCGCTATAGAGTTTCACCTCATCGCATTAACGCAATGCATCAAAAGGATCAAAGCCGCGATGTGCGTGTGTATAGATGCGCGTATGTGTGCGGGGGCCGATGTATGTATATGCGCTACACATGCATCATCGAACGGGTTAAGGGACACATATACAGTTCTATATGCACATGCAGGTACGATGGAAGGGAAAGGCAGAGAGAGAGAGAGAGAGAGAGAGAGAGAGAGAAAAGCAGATAAAGCGAGGCGCGCAGTTTATATAGTCGAAGCGACGGTAGTGGTGCAGTGTCGCGATGTCTATCGCGCCGTATAGCATTAATTCCGTCGCGCTCCCGTTTCGCTATCTCGCGCCTTTGGCAAGCACCCCTCGAACTGCGCCACACACACACACACACACACATACATGCACACGGGTCGCACGTACACCGTTGCACGGCCACACATGCACGTACGCGGGTTAAACATTGACTGTTCCAGCTCTGCGCAGCTTATACCGCACGCGGACGTAAATTAATTTGCGCTCGACGACTATGTGTACGCACGCGGGCACACATACACGCGTCGCAGCTTCATACGTGTATATAAAATATGTGCGGCCGTGAGTGCAGCCTCGGGTATCGAGCTCGAAGACCAAGTCGCCACGAGCGCGTCAGCGTCACCGCGTGTATACGCAGCCCTGCAGGGACGATGCAAAGAGCACACACACACACGCGCACGAGTGCTATACACATTATAACGCGCAAACGGAATCGAAACAAGCTCGCAGCAGCGCACGTACATACCTATACGCTTTGCCAAGCTCGTATTATGTATGGCAATGCACCGACCGATGCACAATTCCGCGTTGTACATATCGTATACGCGGAGAGACTACGTATGCGACGTCGGCCGGCGGAATCGTTTGCTCGTCGCGTGAGCGGAAAGTTTGCCGTTTGTTGTTGCTGTTGTTGTTGCATCGTCCGGGTCTAAGAGATGTATGTCGCTTCGCAGCTCGAGTACACGTATCTCTGACACTGTTATATATATTATATTAATGCTTCACTTCCTCGGATAATCATTTTAAAATGCTATTGTCGAGTACAGCTCCAACTCCTTTCAGCAATGACTAACTCGTTATTCGTTTCACGATGCACCTCTGGTACTTTTCAACTTTATGCTCGTACTTGTTACATTTCAATTCATTCGCAACTTTTTTAAACATTCCGATAAATATGAATTTTTGGAATATTTAAGCCGAAAAGTACTGACTTTGCGCAGAACTGTAGCAATCATTTATAAATTATTTGCCCAATTTTTAAACGTACATCTGCGAAAGTTACTTTCAGTTCAGACCTGCTCGCATGATAATTCTCAAGCCAGAAAGCCGTCCCTCGATAGTAAAAAAACTTGGCTATATTAATCTCGAATCTGTGCGTTGCTGCACAAGGGAAAGTAGTTCTCATCATAAAGGTCATTATAAAATCATCGAGCTTTTTAAAAAGAAAATTGTGTATACGTGTCTTTTCTCCTGTTCGATAGACAAGCCAGTTGTATTTCGCGTAGTAATTGATTCTAATGTGACCGAGCACGCTTGCACCGAGCCGCAATTATATTCGCGATCGAACGCACTGAAATAGCGATCGAGTAAAATACGTACTTCGAAATTAAATTGTATTTTCAATCAGAGGGCAAAAAAGAAACTAAAATAATTAAGTCAAGTTTTGTTCATCAATTCTGTACAATTGAGTATTAAAAGACAGTTATATTCCACACCTCGCAATTATATAGGTGTGCGCGCATTTGTTCGTAATCAACGGGAGGTATACGCCTTGGAGCATTACTTTCAAACCCTCCGGGCTTGCGTAAGCGATGGCAAAAGCCATGAGCGCGAGAAGTATTGTGACAAGGAGAATTTTCGAGACTTACATTCGAGCTTAGATTCGCAAGTAACTTATGTTAGGAATAAAAATTCAAGTGGCTGATTTACCACTAAATTCGTATGTGAATTTCAACTAATGCATTCTTTGGTGAAAAATAATTTTTTCTATAATTAATACCTTGCTTGAACTGTAATATACGTTTCTCAAAGGCATTTTTATTTATTGAGCCTTTAGATAGCTGACGCAATAAAATTGATTTTAAGAGTAAACGTCAAGGTGTCATTTGTCACAAATCGAAGACACATTTTGTCATCATCTGAATAAAGCAACGAAAAAAATTCTGGCATGCACTACGAACGAGTTTTATTACTTTTAGAAAGTGATTGATTTATTGTTATAAAATACGAGAATATTGCATAGCAGCGAGAGCTGGGATTAAAATCAAAATCGTTCATTGAATAATTTATCATAACTTGCAGTAGAATAGAGTCTCAGTAATAAAATTAGATTCGAGCCACATAAGCATATTATTTGCTCAGCTGAAATACGAATTTTTTGAGAGCGAATATTTTGCGCTTCAAAGCTTTTTCCTCTCGTATTAATCTTTGTTTAATAACATTACGAAATCAAATATAAAAAATAAATTAAATTTTGAATTTTAGATATATTAAAACTACTATGTTATTTTCATAAAAGTATCATTGAGTCCCATTAAACTAACATTTTTGAGCTAAAGGCCTAATGATATTTTTACTTTCTTTTAAGGATTCACAAATCAGTTCATTTATTATATTTTATCTACTGTGTTTAATGCGATCCCTCTAAAAATATGATGGTATGATATTACAAAATCTTCAAGTGCCAAAACTAAGCAACAGTTGAGATAAAAAATAAGTAACAAATATTTTTTTTGCATATCGTACCATCCTGATCCATTTTTAGGCGTGGAACCTTGATTTGATTTAATTTCTAGTGCCAAAAAGCCGATCAAGATTTGTAAAATTATAAAAATTAGTGGAAAACCTTATAATTATATGAAATAAGTGATTTCGACTTATAAAAAACATCATTTTTGCTCTACAATCACTCGAGGAAAATGAACCATTTAGACTTCATAAATGATGCATTAAATTATAAACTACAGTTGAAGTAGAGTAAACAATAGTTTTGATTACTTCGCCCAAATTAGAGACTTAACTTTTGATGACAGAAAGAATTGTGTAAAAACTGAGTACTTTTTCTGTATTGACTCGCCGTGAATCTTACGACGAATGGAAATGTTGTGGAACAACATGAATCTCCAAAAAACGTAACAGAAAAAAACCATGAAACTTCAAAATATACAGAAAAACTTAACAAACAGTTGAATCACAGTGAAAAATCAAAGTTTTTGAGTATTGAAAATTGTAATGGAGAAATGGAGAAAGAATTTTAAAAAAAAATTGAATAATGTTTCAAAAAACTTTAACCAAAGAGTATGTTTTGTACCTATAAGATATAAGAATTAAACATCATAGAAGTCTATATTAATAAATATAGTGTTTTAAAATAAATTACGCAGAATTTAAAAAAAGGTTTGAAAATAATCCAAGTAATAATGAAAACAGCAAAATATTTTGTAAGAAATGAATATGTACTTGTAGTTCAATAAACAATTTTTAAATTTCAAATAAACAAAATAAATCTAAAAGGAAACAAATTTTCTTGAGAATGAAATTAAAATTGATTCCATGCTATTTTTTATTTTAAAAAATAAAGAAATTAAAAATTGTATATATTCTCACCAAAACTTTGTGTTGTTTCCCCTGAAGACATGATGTATCTCTTTACAGAGCTGCATGATTGTTGCATACAATCAGACTCATGCTTCTTCCATCTCGAAATAAATAGACTTCTCTGGGCAAATGATTATTATTATACGTCAGAATTGATAAGGGACAGTAATAAAAAAAAAATTTATAAGACATTTATATTTGAAATGGATTTTTCAATAAAAAAAGGATTTCATGTTACGTGATAAATTTATTTTAACTCTGATAAAATGATTTTTTGTAAATATACATACATCTTTTTTTAATAAAAATTCATTAAGTTATTTTCAATTATTTTTTTAATAACAAAATTATTATTTTAAATTATAAAAGAATTAGTATCATCATCAAACAACAACTAATGTCATACTCAAACAAAAAACTTTATATTTACAGTAGTTTACAATAAAAATGTATGACTGTTGAATCAACTTTTCAACTCATATTAAAGTTGCTTGTTCGACGTTTGTAAATTAAATAACGTAATGTCATATACTGGTTTTAAAACAATCACTTATATACAACGTATTATACACAGACTCGTATCGCGAGTATTAATTACCTAAACTTTTTTTATAAAACATTTACACACATATTATACGTTCTCCATTTAGACCTTAATTAACATTTATTAAAAACACAAGTTGGCAACAGCTTGAACTTGTATAACTCGTATTTTTTTTAATCGATTTATTTTACCTGTCCTTATGAACAATAATAAAAGTTCTGTTTCATTTCTGTATCATTTTTAGGTTTCGTCCACATACACATATATATTTATATTCTCCTCGGTTAGGCACTTGGACATATTGTTGTAAAGTATTCTTGTCCCCACTAGTACTTTTTGAATGCGAGGAAATTCATAGCAAGAATTAGTAATGAAAATTGGGGAACGTTGCTGCCTGTAATAATTAAGTAAATTATTATTTTCTTTTTCAAAAATTTAATTCTTGAAATATATATATATTTCAATTATGTACACAGTTAAAAATGTGCAACGTTAACTCTCAAAATTAGGGTATGAAAACTTTTGGCTTTCTCGACTTTTGTCTTCGGCAGGGATAGAACACACGGAGAATCCTAATTTCCCCAGGGCTACTGTATCGTCATTGTGGTTAATGGTGTGTTGGATGGGCTTACATTTTGAAGGTAAGCCTGGTGGTATAACATGCCATTTCGCGCAAAATGTGAAACTTTTTTCAAAGGCTACTCTAATTAATTAGTGCGTGTTATATGACGCAAAAACTTCAAAACTTTCCTTCGAGCTCACTCGTAAAGCTTAATTTTTTACGTTTATACCGAACAACTTTTGGGCGTTTTCAAAGTCGGTAGAAAAAAAGAGATGATAAAAAAATTTAACTAGACCAGAGTTGGCACAACAAAATTTTTTACGAAAGCAAAACAAATATTGGGTAGATGACAACCTCTTCCCGCGATGTGTTTCAAAATAATATTGATTTTTTAATTACCGTTATAAACGTATTCTTGAAAAGACGTATAATTAGCCTCGGGTATTGATACTTCACATCGAAAAAGGGCCGGTAGCTTGACTTTGTCAGCTTCCAGAACGCCGACAGCTTCTGCACTGTACCGACCATCTGTTTTATTTTTATATCTTTGCTCTTGGTACTTTATTGGTTTCCTACGGTTGTAAAAAATACGTTCATTTAGTTTACACCACGTCGCGTATAATAAAAGTGGACGAAAAAAAATAAAAGCTTACCTGTTCCAATAAATAATGATTCTGGGTTTTGGGAACAGATCTTCGGCGCTACAACTAACTATGAGTCGATTTGTCGTCTCGTTCATCATAGGTTGATGTATCCTCAAAACTTTTTCAGGTGCTGGAAAAAAATTAAACATTTCAATTTTCTTAATCTCTTTCTGGCTTCTCTCTTGCAGAAGTTTAGTTCATAATGAATTTTGCAAAATTAGGCGCAATGAGTCAGAAAAACGTGTATCAACAGAGCTATTCTTTGTGAGCTGCACTGCTCACGAAGCTTTTCGTCGTAGCGGCACAGCAATATTCATGTGATACTTAAGATTCGCAGCCTATACACAAATTGAAAATCTCGTGTTCGCGTTTCGGAGATTTTCCCCCCGAAAGCTAGGCGCATAAACGTGAGTCTCGCTGCTTTTATACAGTTGTTAAGTACACTATATTTCTCCGTGTACGTATACTTTCAAGTGATTTATTCATGAGCATGCGCGCGTATTTTCTCGTGCTTTGCCTTATATACGTACGTGTATTTCATACGTTTACGTGAGCTTTATGGAATTATTTCTGCAAGTTTCGTATTTTCATTCATCGTGAAACGCGACATTTTTTTCTTTTCCGATGAACAAAAAAGGCAAGTTATTCAAGCCTGACAATGCTTAGGCACTATATCATTGTGTGTTTTATATATTTGTTTGGTATTGCGCGGTCTGAAAGCGATGGATGAGTTAATTTTTTGTTGTCTTTGCAGCTCGGACTCGACCACACAATCTGTCAGCTGCGGTCGGAGCTATTATACACGTTGTATTCGCGCTTGCATCGCACGAACGCGGTCGGTTCGCAAAAGGAGCGGCCATACATACAAGCCGCGCGCAGCCACGCACGCATTCGATCCTATAATAGAATTTGAGTTCCATTATTATGACCAATGTGTGAATAGAATTCGCTAACAAGAAAATGCTCCCATATACTCTCCTGTGCGATGTACACAGGAGTGTGTATAGCTAGAGGAGCGCAAGCTCAGATTGATCGATACACTATTAAAACGCGTAAAAGGGATTCGGAATAGCATTTTTATCTCCGCTTTGTTTCGCTTTTTTCCATGATAATAGGCATTTTAAATTTCTACTCAACTTGCAAATTAACTTCATTTTTAGAAAGCTCGTACTACGTCTCGGCTCCATACATAATGGCTACTCGCTCGGGCATATTTTTTTTTGTTCGGTGATGCAAATTTTTTTTTTTAATTAACTTGTCACCCGTCTTATTTAATGGGGAATATCGAGCTAGTTTTTTCATCTTGATTGTCACTCTCGAGCCTCTGGCTGACAAAAAAAACTCAATTACATTTATAGAAGCTTTGCAACTGACTTTGCGTCACGTAAACTACGCGCTACAGTGTTTCGAATTTAATTAGTTCACCGCGTTTTTATACAATGTAAACATGAATAAAAATCATTAGCTCTAGCAGTATAATGAGCATCACGTATCGATTTTAAGCAAATAGCAGAGTTTGAAGTCGAGTCAGTCCAGCACGAGCAGCTAAAACGTTGATGAAATTAGTGCTGCGGACCTCCACCACTTGTATATTCGTACATGCGGGCAAACTTCTCGGAGCTTCGCGCGTAAGACGATATTCCGTATATATGCGAAGGTGTAGACATAAACACGCACGGGTCGCACGAAGACTCGCACGACTCTATACGCGCTGCGTCGAGCCAACGATCGATACGACAAATAATCCAATCAAGATTGTTCAAGTATATATAACGCCGGCATAGCACACGTGTACGTTGTATATACACCACTGCAGTGCATATATGCAGTGCGCGTGTATCGGAGCTAAGCGCATTAATTCGAGGTAAACGCTCGCGAAACACAACAAGCGGCTACGCGCCAAAGAAGTTAATTTGCATACAAGAGAGAATTCGACGTTGCATAATGCGCAGAAAACGTTTCGAATTGTTAAATCGGACACAGCTTGCAACACAACGAGTAGAATACGTATGCATATGACTTACAATAAACGAGCATCTTCCTGACGGCTTCGACCTCGTCGAAAATCGTTGATATGATGCACTTGATGTTGCCGCTGAGCTCGTGGCCGGGTCTGACCAGCTTCACGGCACGGTACTCGCTGCGCGTGTCGTTGCTCGCCCGGTACGAGGCGTCGATGTACTTCTGAAACTCGTCCGAGCCCGCAGGATTTTTGCCGTGTATCCACTGGTAGAGAACGTCTTGATTGACGAACCACTTGATCACGAGGCCCTGAGTCTTGGAATTGCCCAAATCGTAATTGCAGTCGAGCACGACCGGATCGGGGCTGCCCGCCCTCACCACGTACGGTATGTCCACCTTTGTTATACTGATGGATATGACTTCTGCAATACAAAACAGTCAACAACGGACGGCATGAGCAAAGCATCGAGTTAAGCGAAACTATACTTGCTGCGAGCATATATTGCCAGTATGCATGTATGTATAAGTGAGTGTGGAAGTTGTACGTACTCAGGGAGTATTATATATTATGAAAGTTTTAGATCCGGACTATACACGCCAAGGGAAACGCTTCGATGAGGGATGAGTTGCGCAGCAAGGAGCTAAGGACTTTGTTGTCGTCTGTACGTGTGTATGCGCGCGCTCGCATGAATAAGGGGATATGTATGTAAATATAGGGCACGGCCACCGTGAGAACGCTCGAGTCGTGCTAGGTCGATTAATCCTGCAGTGCGGTGCGTGGCCCGAACCACTGCTGCAGGCCTCATTTGATTTGCAGATGCGAGAAATCCATTTGAATGCATTATTTGTAGCATATTGCACCCGATGGACTTTGCCCTATCGTATAATCGATGTATTAGCTGCGTACGAATGCATAGAATCTACGTGCTTAACGGCGGAATTCGAAGGAATAATGTAATTTTTTCAATTCACGTTAGCGTGAGTTTTTCGGAAACTCGGCTGCCATCTGTAATTACCAAAGCTTTTATCGATGCGGATCAGGCGTAAGGAGAAGCTGTGTAGGGGAAGAGCGATGCAGCCGTATAATGTATTTAAACTACTCGGTGATGGATGAACACGATAATGAATCTCATTTTCCATTCAGTTATCGAGCAATCGATCATCGTACGTACACACTCGCGCATACGCGTAGGCACACAAACACGTAGAATCGAGAATTTCCAATTCAGCACCTTCGCCGTAGTCGTCGTTGGAGACGTCGCGTAGCGAGTTATAACTCAAGCTCGCGCCATAAAGTAATTCGACGGAGCAGCGAGAAACGATCGATTATCAGAATATACAGTCTTTTATATACTTTTCTACGCCATGCAAATCAAGCCTTACAACTAGCTCCATCGCTGCTGCCGGGAGCTTTTCTTGCAGAAAAAAAAGAAGTATGTATGCAGTATGCAGAGCACCTATACTAGCACGTGGCCAGTTTAGCGATATAATAATGAAGTCGAAGTGAGTATGTGTGTGTGTATGTGTGTATGTGTAGTTTCATACAATATAGCGACAAATAAAAGACTCACGCTAGACACGCGAAACGTTTATATTCATATAAGACTGAGAAAAAGGGAGGGAGAAAGAGAGGAGAGACGAATATATATAGTTGTGTTGGATGCAAGTCGACCTTAATAAGCGTGGTGAACGCTGAAGGCAGCTTTACGATCGCGCGATGGCGTGTGCGTCAGAGCCTGTACACTTAAAAACCCCGCACACACGCTAGACGCACCGGTGAGCGTAGTCGAAGGGATAAGGTATATACGAGTCCATTGCACTGCCAGTGCTAAGCTGTGAGAGGAAAGAGAAAGAGGCAAGAGAGGGCGAGGTGACGATCAATAATCCTCCAAATGAAGCTATTAAAAAGCTTCCCTATACATCGAGCTGGGCTGCCACTGCTGCTGCTACTGCTGCCACTGCCGCCTGTAGTGGTCTCGTACGTGAATCAGCATTACGGTTAAGCTTCTCGCGTTCTTGTTTTTTACCTTTTGTCCAAGTTGCACACGCCTCTTTTCCAGAGCTTTTTTCATTTTGCGTCCCTCTTCCTCACTTTTTCTTTTTTTCAACACAATTGCACATCGAGGACCTCCATATACTATCGCTCGTGGCATGCACCACTTAAATAATTTTATTTTTTGAAATTATCAAGAGCAACAGTAGTGATCAGTAGAGTTTCACTACATGAATGCCGATGGGTTTAAGCAATACACCTTTATTTTTTCGACTTTTGTGCAGAGTTTCACTATATGAATGCCGATGGGTTTGAGTAATACACCTTCATACTTCTGACCCTTATGCATTGAACTTGTTTGTTCTGATTATGGTGTGAGTATGGGATTTTAACATATTCCAGAGCAAATGAGAGATGGAAAAAAACAAATGCAAATGCGTGGGCAAATAAACAATTTTGTTTTTGTATACTCCTGTGGCAAATATGCCGAATCACAGTCAAGCAGTTAGCATAGGGGTAAAAGAAAAATGTGTAAACTACTACGTGAATGAATTTATGTAGCACATTTTTGTATATCAACAACTAAGACTATTTGCCCGCTGCTATCACCATATCATATTTCACTCGATAAATTATAATGGAAAAAAACTATTGATAGGAAAAAGTTTCAAGTTAGGAAAAAAGCATCATAACGAGTATGTACCGGGCCAGTGGCTGATGCATAAGCTTTTTCACTACTCAAGAGGCTCGGTTGTCGGTGCGTGCTCGGACTTGAAGGAAGGTAAGAGAGCTAAACGCACTTACAAGAGACTCTACAATGAACTTAATGATGCGCTCCGTGCGCACGTCTTGGTTTCATCATGCAACGATTCTACTCTCTCATTCTCTCTTTCCCTTTGCTGGAGCAACGCCGCCCGCTCGCGTGCGTGTGTGTATATGATGTGCCAAGTACCTTCCCCAACTCCGACGCTTTTGAGTCTCTCGCTCTCTTTCATTGTCGGTAAAACTTCAAGGCCCAGACCGAGAGAGAGAGAGAGAGAGAGAAAGAGAGAGAGAGAGAGAGAGGGGAAGAAAGAAAAAGAGAAAAGAAGGGTGCAAAAATTTCAGAGGTAAAAGATAGGAGCACGAGAGTTTTGCCTGGAATACACCTACGAGATCCTTGAAAAGTCGCCGCCGTCACCGTCATCGTATACACTAAACTTATACGTGCCCACCTCCTGCCCGCAGCCTCTTCATCGCTCGTAGCTGTGCATGTAGTGCACGTAGCTCCCGAACGCGTTGATACGGCTGCAGACATACGTACACACTGCATGCATACACACACGGTATACAGAGAAACTCACGAGTCTCGCGCGCTGCAAGCTCGCGCGCGGCTGCTGCACAGCGTGCAAAGGTAGAAAAGCTCGCTGTAGAAAAAGAAAATGTGTATAAGAGGGTGAGAGACGCAAATGCACGAAGTCTCTCTACTGCTACGGCTGTACTACTGAACCCTTAGAATAAAATATATACAGCAAAAGAGAACTTTTGTTACACCTCGAGGGCGTGTGAAAAATGTCACGAATGCGCTCTCGCGCTCTTTTTCGCTCTCTTTCTCTCTCTCTCTCTCTCTCTTTCTGTATAGGCCGACGCCTGCTCGTCTTTGAACTCGTATGCAATAGAGGCTTGTAGCGCCTTTTTTTCTAACACTATATACACCGTCTGTATTATAAGAAGAGTGCACAAGTTCTATAAGGCAGAGCAAGACGAGAGAGCGAACTGGAATGTACGTAACGGAAATTTTAACAAACTGCATGGAATATACGTTTTTTATGATACACAAACTCAAGGCTGCGTGACTGAACAGTTTCAACGAGTAGCAAATAACCGAACGTTATATTCTGGCAGCTATCGTTGCGCTACAATCACGTGCTGCAAGTGCTCGAATACTTTGGTAATTTTTCGTTTTTTTTCGGAAACGAAGATATCGTTCCAGTAAATTCGTCCAATTGTATAGTGTTCGTGTTTTATTCCCCGGAAAAATGCGTTCCTTGCGATGATTGTACTGCATAACCAAAATGATGTTCAAGGCAAAAAATGATATTTTACATTTAATAGATTTTCTACAAAAAATTGCACGGGGAAAAATGTGTAAATAAATTCGTAGCTTCTCGAATGAAACTTCATTTCATTTTTTTTCAGAAAATTTCGCTTTATTTTGAAGAACTTTTCGAAGAACATTTTATCATTTTTTGACACAAGGTGACAAATAAAATTTTAATCCATTGTACTGTTACAAATCTTGGACTTGTTTAACTTGGCAAAAAATAAAAGAGTAATGCTAGAGGCGCTAAAGAGTATTTTTCAAGGTATTTTCATGAAGGTGTTCAAAGTGACCCGATGCTATGGAATAATGGAAAGTCTCACTGGTAAACGCGCATTTCTGAGCGCTCGAAGCGCGCAAGAAAACGATTCAAGTCACTGTGTAAAGCGCGATGTCCGAAGAAAAAGCGACAGAAAGAGAGAGAAGCATTTTACACAGCCCCCATGGCAAGTGGTATTCATGTAACTGGCAAGCCTCTCTCTTTCAAGCCTTGTCACGTTGTCGTTTTTTCAACCCTCTGTAGTCTCATTCCTCCTTTCGTTTTCTTCGCTTCTTTCTCTGTCACTCTCATACTTTCTTTGTCTTTCTATACTAAGGTGCATGGGTGGTGTTGGCGGTAAGACTTTGTATGCCGTTCTCAGTGTCGAGAGGCTGTTTGATTACTAAATGCTTACAGGATCAAAGACATTTCACGTGTACCTATTCTCCCTCTCTCTCTATATACATATGTATAATATCTTTTTCCCGATTCCTCTGTACTAATGTCGGCAAATGCCTTGTTATGCGTTCTATTTGACGTAGCCTGGCACATGAGTATACTTGAGTATATTAAAACATAAACCAAGAACAGTAATAAAGTTTGCAAAAGTGAATATTTTTGAATTTAAAAAAGGAAATACGATTCAGAGAGATTAATGAAGTTAAGTCAACGTAATTGACGAACTAAACCATGCACAAATCTCAGTTCATAAACCTTAATCAAATGAAAATAAATATGAACGCAAGCTGGAAAAGTTTGAAATTGGAAGCCTCTCGAGCGAAATAGTAGCACCTTTCGTTCTTTTAAATCCATTCTTAGTGGGCGCGACCTATTGCTCTCTCTCTCTCTCTCTCTCTCTCTTTCTTCTTATACATACAACACAAGTATATAAAAAGTCGATCCACTTTGGGTTATAAGGCGCAATTTGTAACCGCGTATAAGATTTGCTACTCGAAACCGCAAAAACTTTTCTTTTCTCCCTTTACCTCTCTCTTCTCTCTCTGTCCCTCTCTTCCTTTCTCTCTCTCTCTCTCTCTCTCTCTCTCTCTCGTGATCTATCTCGCTTTATCTCGAAAGAGGACTTAGTAAGCCGAGAGAGGGTAGGAGAGCCCAGTACATTAAAAGCAGATATATAGTGGAATGCGAGCGTGTACCGAGGCACCTCTATATATGGAGAGAATCACGATAGATGCTTCAGGGCGTAGAGTGGTTGTAACACGAGAGCACGCATTTTTCAAAACGTTATACGTATCTCATATTAGTCTCAAAATGAAAATGATCTATCGAAAAAGACTCATTTTCCTCAGCTTTTTGGCGACGAGGTCAGAATGACAAAAATTTGCCTTCATAACCTTGGAATTCCAAGTTTGAGATATAACACGCTATATATTGTATGATTCTAGAGCTTTTCTAAAATTTGGCCTAAATCGAAAGATCTGGTGTTTTTACACAAAAAATAATACGAAAATATGGAAATTTTTTCGATATGGCTAGTGGTAAAGAGAAAAAGAGAGCGCGGTCGACTGTTTTCGAGCGTTGCACAGGAATATCCATCGTGATTCTCCCCATATACAGGTATACGGCGGCAGCAGCAGCATGTATATGCGAAGAATGAGGCGCGCCAGCAATGGCGGCATCAGGGCGGGTGTGTACGGCAATAAGATTGGGCTGCTTATCTAGATTAACTCGGATATTCCAGTGCTGCTTTTGCTGCCATCGAGCGGGTATAAAGTATATGTATATATCTACATAGATGTATACATGAAAATCTGCGTGCGGCGATGTTGCTGGGTTAATGCTTTTGTAGCGAGGAAAATTTCTCTCCAACAGTCTTACATCATTGTATACACATACATACACACCCGTACAGGCGAAGAAGCTCTCTTTGTTTACCTATTGCTTTTTCTTATTCGTATCCCTCAACTCACCCCATCCACGCGGATTCGATCTAAATATATACGTATATGCGTTGTAATGTGCACGAAGGCACGCGCACACGAAGCTCGTCGGATCGGAGCGCAAAAGCTCTTTCACACTCGTGTAATGGAAAAGCTATACATGTATAAAACGCGCACTCATACACTTACGCACTCGCACACATTGCTAATGAAGATTCGTGGCTATGGCGAACATTCGCCAAACAAAGATCTACGACGTAGGCACTAAGTTTCACTCAGTTTCAGCGGCAGCACCTCAGCTGAATATACACGCGTGAGAAAACAAATGAAAATTACATAGCGCACTCTTATTCCCCGGATTATCATCATTATTATCTTTGCTATTGTATATTTTCCACATACGAGAGAGCTTGCGGTTTTTTTGACCTCGTATGTTTTTATGTTTATTTTCTGTCCGTGAAAAGACTCGAGTCTACACGAGGGCAGCGGCGCAGCGTGTCCCTTCCATGTTCTTGACGCTCATTTATCAACGTCAATTTACAAGCGTGCGTTATACCCACATACGTGTGTGCTCGCTCCCTGCGAGTGAAGGCTGAAAAAACACGTGTTCGAAGATACAATAGGTCTATAGGTGTAGGCGTTAGTGTCACATGACATCGTAAATTCAAAAATTAATGTAGAGTTCATTTTCTACATTATTTTTCCTCGCCAGTCAATCTAGCATTCGTACGTGGCTTATTTTTAATTAACTCGGATACCGCCGGCATTTATCATTCAAGAGCCGCTGCTTTGCGTTTCATTTGAAGCTTATTTGTATGAAAACACAGCTCGGTATATTTTTTCAGGAGCTTTCTACGTGCCACGAGCGTTACCTCAAACTTCCGATGATACGAGCGCCGGTCCGTGGCTGTGCTACATGCGTCGCCGGGGAATCCCGTGTGACACGAGACTATCAGTTTAAACGCGCGTGACCATAGAAATTTATAATTCTCCCGTGTGCCAGCTGCGGGAGCATGTATAGCTATTCATGTATTCATGGCTTCTCGGTTGTTCCCGGCTACCTATATGTATATGTGCGTGTATGAATTTATAAGGGACGTGCGCGACTGTCAAAAGCGAGATGGCAATATGTAGTAGCAAAGCCGCTTTCGACACAACGTTTCCTTCGAATATAATATGCAGCAGCATAGAGTGGAAGGAGGTTTATGAGAACTTTACCTGAGTGATGAATACGCCTTATATCTGTGCCACGCGTATATTACAGTATGAACGATATGCACATCCATGTGTACCGATGTAACTTACTACATATACATATATTTATATCTATGCTCGGAAAGATATTTTTCCATTGATACTCTGACGAGTTTATGGCAAAAATTAAGTTACCTATAAAGAATTTGACGATTTTGTTCGTTTTATATAGCTTATGGAAATATCTAATTATCAAATTTGTACTACTATAAAACATCTATTGATTAAAACCGAAACGAGAAACGGTACTCCTAAACGGGAGCTTGTGCGAAGTAATTTAATATTTGACAAATCTTCGCAATATACGTGAAAAATGTTTCCATTATTTCATTAAAACAATCCTAAAAAAACAGGAGAATATTTTATTGACCTAAATCAATGGACGATTAAAACATAATTTGGAAACCTTATAAAACTAAATGAAACATTAAAATTATACGAACGAACTTAGTTGCAGTAATGCACAAACAAGTTTTATTTTTCAACCCCATTGAATGAAAATATTAGGGGAATTACTTGTAATCAGAGCTGTAACATATATAATGGTGCACGAACCAGCAGCGTCGTAATTATATTTTGACGGGAGCTTACAGCTCGAATCTCTTTAGGCAAAACGTCTATTCACTAAGTAAGTGTTGTACTCTTGGTATGTATGTATATAGAGAGAGAAAGCTGATGGGCTGGTAGAAGAGTCTAGCAGCGTAACGGAGTGAACCGTTGGGGTCGGGGGTTTCACGATCATCAGTGCACGACTATAACGCATGTATACATGCACAACAGTGTATACGTAGCCTATATACATAAATACAAGCCATTTTGTGCACAAGTTGCAAGCACACACAGGCGAAGGAGGCGGCGGTGGTAGCAATATGCGATACAAGCTAGTACACCACATCGCTAGAGACTTGGCGAAGCAGCTCTCAGGTAAACGCGATTACTTGCTGCGATGCTCGATGCGCTCACCAATGCATACTCCCTCTCTCTCTATATATTATATGACCTACATAAGTATGCGTGCAGAGCTTTGTTACCGGCGTTGTTGTTGTTGCTGCTGCTGCTACTGCTACTGCACCGAGCTTCGGATTTGCACAGCGCCTACAGCAGCGAGACTTTAATAGTTCAAACTGATGCCCAAGTGGCTCCGATACATTTGATTATAGCCGAGTGTGTGTGCACAACAACAACATTTCTCAAGACTTTGATCCCTCAGGAGAAGAAGAAGAAGACACGACCTGACAGAGCAGATCAGTGAGAATGGTACGTTCGGATCGGCGTGCAAATGGCTCCTCGCTGCTCCGAGCTGCCGAGCAAGGAGACAGAGTAGACTCATCGCCTCGTGCAAGCTTGTGTCTTTAAGTACACGTCCCCTCGGGATCTTTAAGCTTTTGCCTCTCTCTTCCACCCTTTGCTTCTCTCTCTTCTCTATTTCTTTCTCGCGCTAGCTCGTTCTCTCTCGATCTTTAAGTATAACAGTGCGATGCTTATTGTCATGGGAGTACTTGCAATTGTACATGTGATAAGTGCCATAGCTTCAAAAGCTGCCTTTTTTCGTATGTAACACGTGCAAAGTCTTTCGATCGAACGTCACTTGTACACGAAGACAACTTTATGTCTTTTAACGAAATCGGCCTATCGTTGCCAATTCCTCAATTATTTTTGGAGTCTACAGATTTGATTCGTTCAGTTCTTCCTGACAATGCGATGGCAAACTTGATCGCAAGTATTTAGCCCTCATTACTTTATGATAATTACAGCGACGATAACGATGCTCTCTGAACTACTACTGTAGCATGTGCATAAGTACATTAATATTCAAGGGAGCGATCGAGTGAACGCGGCAAGGAAAATCACGAAAAGTTATTTTGCACGCATAGCTTTGCAGCTTAAACGAAAGAGAATTATACATCAAAAGGAATAGCTAAAGGCGATTATATGACTAAAACTCTGTTAGAAAACTTATTTCTCAAAGTCTAGCTGTCCATTCATCGTTGCACCATGTGGCAAAGCATCGTGTGTGGACACGCAATATTTAATGATTGTTGGATCGGTATTACTTGATGGAACGCAAAATTCATTCGAATCATCCAGAGTGGTTGACCCGCTTTGGCTGACCTATAGATTCGAATCAAATCTCGACGCGGATCGATACCAACATTTTCCTTCTTACTGAATTTTTTAAACCTCGAGTCCAGTGATCATTTATTACACGCTGTTGTGCGCGTGCACATAATCTCGATCGAGCTTGTGAGGTCAACATAACATAAACGCCGCCAAGACATTATATTGCGGCAGTAGCGGCAAAGGCGCTGATAGCGAGGGAAGGAAGGGGGAAGTATTCTTGGGGGCCGCGCGTGTGTGTATGTGTTGATTTTGACAGAAAATATGTATACCGCTTGGGTCACTTACCCGAGATGAGAAGCAGCGTAAGCAGGAACACTCTGCATAATAGCGCTGAATCATTGAAAAGTCTATGCATATTGACTGTTCGATGCGGGGCTGTCCTTTTCATGGCCTGGATGCTCGTTCCTCTGTCTCTCGCGCACAGCACTGCGAGCAAGCTTAGAGGTATATAAAGACTTTTTCGCTCAAACAAACAACAACACCACTAGCGACTGCTGCGGATGCCGATGGCTTTCGACCTCGCAATCGTCATCGTAGCGCACAGTTATTTTATATTCATCTCGTTCCACTTTTTTTTACGCGGGTAGCTCGGCTTTTTGTGTGCTTTTTATTTTTATGGCTCAACGCCGCACGTGCTCTCTCGCTCAATCTCTCCCTCTCTCTCTCTCTCTCCTTTCTCTTGCTCTTGACTAAAAACAAAATTCTTATTATCTCGACTCGTTGCGTCAGCGAATATTTATTTTCACTATATTCCGTGATCAAACGATAGTTATTTTTATTCGATACGAATGTTATTTAACATCCAAGTGTGCACGTGAAATGCTAAAACAGCATCCCAAAAAGAAAATATTAAAACAGTTTTTTATTTATTTATCGGATACTATGCCGGATAGCTCGGATATTTTAAGGGACACGCCGTGCATCTGATTTCAGTTGATTTATGCTGCTTTCGAACAATCAGTCGAAACGAGTAAGCAGAGAGTGTAAACACGCATTGATAGAAATAAGCCTTTCAAGAACGGAAACTATATATCTGCCAAGCGTATAACGGCCCGGCTGAATGGCCGCAATGAAAGACTGCTCAATTAATTGATTGATTTGGTAAAAGAAGCGTTTTATATCTAATTCAGATCTTTTACATGCAGTTCTATGCACATGACACCGCTCGAATAATTCACTTTTGATCACTCTTAATTTTGATGAGAATAGTTTTGTCGATAAATTTTTGCCGGCTTTACATTTCACAAACACTGAATAATTTCGGAAAAATTACTTGTCAAAATTGTAGTATCGACCGATGGCTCTCACACAAAAGTGAATTGTTGCACTGAAAAATTATTCACCCAGCTATCGCGTTAATTTTACATCGTACGCGATCATCAAGTAGGTTGCGGTTTGTGAACTAAGTCAATTAACTCGTCCGAATACTGCACATTCCATGGCACGAGCTTACTTGACGAATGACTTTGTAATGACCTTTTTTTCTCGTGACAAGCTCCCTCGTTATTTGGGGTTTGAAGAAACTCGAAGATTCGTGTAGTCGAATATGGCACCCGCGCTAAATGTACTATACTATAATGTCAACTATCCCGATTACGCTTGTGCTACAAGAACGCAACAGCTTGATAATGCGACATATCACACGTAGCGCACAGACAGGAAGCGGTGCTTCAACGACGAATGTTCGGAGTCGGCCGAGCAGTGCCGCGCGCGCCTCCTCGGCGAGCACTGAGGCCAAAAGCTCGCCACGATCTCTACGGCGGCTGCTAAAGCGCCACCGCTTTCAGCCCTCTCCACTCGCGCTTGCAACCCCGTGCGCCTCATTTCCGAGCTTGCGCAAAGCGACGGCGCGGCTCACTCTCACCTGGACCGCCGCGGCTCGTACACCGTTCACTCTGCTCTCTGCGTCGAGGCTAGCGAACTATGCTTATGATGCTTGTGCTTCTCGTGGCTAAGAGAAAACAAACCGATTTTATTTTGAGTACTCGTACGAGGTTGTATTAATGGGCTCGCGCTTCATGTAAGCTACTCATAATTCATGTAATACGGTGCCGTTTGTTTAATTAGTAGCTGCAATTCAAAGTATAAAAAATTGATATGTTTGTTTTTTTTAGCAAAATTTACTTGGTCAAGTATAGAAAGAGGAATAGTTCTTACAGGGATATAACAAAAAAAAATAATTCAAGCGTTATTGTAGTTTTAATAATATTTTATAAGTTTAGTTCACGTTTGACCGACTCTCAAGGCGAACAATGCGTACACGACCAAGTGCTGCGAATCTTTTTTCAATTCGGATAAATTATATGTAATACGCATGAATTCGAAGTAAAGCTAGTCATGTTGCACACAATAGGTAATTGCTCATAAATCTTTAGACGGATGGCAATTTAATTTATAATGAAACTAAAAATCATTAACGTTTAACTAATAATGGAAACATAAAATTTATATTATAAAACGTTTCAAATTATATGATAGAATAAAATAAGTGTAAAATTAGCTGAAACAAATTAATTTGTGATCATGAGGCTTTTTTAATTTTACGCTTATTATACATCGAAGTTTGTATGATGATTTACAGACAATAACATTCATTAAAAATTATTTTACATAAATCTTCATTTTTTATATTATGATTTTTCCAACTTTCATTTATCTAAATGGTAATTCTATTCATTATCTTTACTCAATTAAATATTTTCTATACAAATGTCAGTATTTACAAATATAATAAAATGTTTCTAATTATTACAATTCATACAATTTATACAGTGATTGACTTACACGATCTCGTGCTTTTGATAAAATTTCGACCTGTATCATTTACTTATAACTAGTTCATTTGGTTTATAAAAATCGGTTATTAAATGTGAAAAATCACTTAAATTATTTTCTGATAAATAGTTTGGAACATTATTTGGTTTAGTATACTGAATTTTAGGATATAAGACTAGGCTTTAATACAAGCTAGCGATTAAATAAAAACGTGATTTCTTAAGAGTAAACTTCAAGTGTTTTTGATAAAATCCACACTTTATCGAATTTCACTAATTATTAATTTAATAGTATTATAAAGCAGTATTTCAAAATTCTATCGGTCGAAAATTTTGATTTAGTTTACTGTACAAAACTGTAAAAACTACGTTATATACAATAACTAGGTATTTTTCTAAATAAATTTAGAAGGTCGAGGAGTTTCGATACATTGTGCAACAATTATGAAACGAGAGTCTAATTTTAGTGATTTCATCAATTTGCATGGACTAGTTTTTCCCAACCATTCAATAGTCTGAATTACTATTGAATTTAATTAACTGAAATATTACATTGTCTACACAAAAATAAGTATATGCTTGACGTGTGCACTAATTTTTTAAAGGTACAGAATGCTCTTTATCCAGTTGAGATTTCATCATTTAAATTATTGCCAATCTATTTTTACTCATTTTATTACATATTCACAAGCGCCTTTGACTTTATTTACAAACTACTCGACTTGGTTTGGATTTGTACTAGATACTTCGATTATCTTTGAATTCGTACTGTTCATCGCTTTGTTTCTCTTGTTGGATACTCTGAAACAGTGTATGAAAAATACTTATAGATATGAAGTAAACAGACATAATAGTTTATTAAAAATAATTTGGACTAAACATTTTGAAAGGTACTTACAGGTACAAAAATGCTTACATATCTGCGAGCTTAAATTCCAAACAGCATAAGACCAGTTGTCATCAAAATTGTTAGAAATGCATCTTTTACATGGTTCGCCGAATTGCCTGAGAAAAAAGTTCAAAAATGTAGAGTTTAGCGTTGCATAAATATAAAAAATTTAACTTAAATTTAAACTAAAAATGTCTACTAAAATTGCTATAAGCTTTCCCATAAAAATCACTAAATTAAGGTTTACATCTAAACAAGAAAAAATATAAATCATCCGAGTTTCATAAGCAGGTCAGAATCGATATATTTGCAAAAGAAAGAGAGAGAGAGAGAGAGAGAGAGAGAGAGAGAGAGGTTGAGTTCAAACATTGGGAGTGAGGAAGCAATTTCAGTTTTGCAGAAGAAGCAATAACGAAGTGCATTCCAATATTGGCTCGGAGAGCATATGTGCTAGAATAAAGAGTAAAGCAGTAGCTAAAAAAATTGCTACGAAATTTTCGTTTCAGAGCCAATATTATGCTGCTTGATAAAATTTAGAACTTCATATGTTATTGTGAAAATACTTGTTCATGGAACTCTTCATCTTTTTTATGATATTTCACGATTAATACAAGTTTTACTTTAGACATCTGTAACTCTTATTCGTACGCTATCTTTCAATCACGTATATTTTGGTACGTCTAAGCTAAAATAATCAATCAGCAATAGGTTGCATTATTCGATTTATTTGCAGTAAATTTTTATGTGATAGAAGCTGGCGCATTCTCTTTTACCAGAGCAAATCAAACGTCACATTCGAGCTTCTCTATCAAGTACTGGAAATGTTTCGCATCAAAAATGCATTACTCGACGGTGACTCGTGCTTCCTTATAATGGTCAGATGCAAGATGGACTGCTTCAATATTTTATTTTACGCTTGACTTTATACATCAAGCGGCGAAGCGTCTAGACTCGATCTTTTTATTTTTTTATGTCGTGTAAAAATTCCGAAATATGTTTAAAATTCCAAAAAATGAAATTATTCAGCAGTCAGTATGAAAGCTTAAAAGGTAATCGCACGTACATATCTTTGCTAATGGTATAGGTTGAGTCGAGGTGCAAGATTCGAAGCGCTCAAAACGCCAGGCTTGCATCGCACAGTGGCGCTGTAGCGATGGAGCGAGTGGCAGCTTACCATTTCACTTCCTTATTCCATGAATTTTCAAGGTTTCCGCTTCTTCGGAAGCGGGAATGCGCATTAGAATCGGCAACGGGCGTGTGTACGTGTACATATATATATATATGAGAGAAAAAGTGCAGCTCTATTCACGTGCGAAAAGCTCGCGCCGGAGTACAAAAACGTCTTGCGTGCCTGGCACTACTCCGCCCCTATCTCTCTCTCTCTCTTTCTCTCTCTACCACCCTCCTCCCTCCCCCATATACAAAAAAGTTGAGTGATTGAGAGACGGGAAAAAAGGCAAAAAATACGCTTGGGTGGGAAATACGACGAGCATAAAAAAGCGAGTAGTCCATGAAAGTGCAGTGATGGCAGGCTACACAGTGTATATGCCATCAGAGTGGTGAGATGCACTTAAGACGACATTTAAATTTTCAGTGGTCTAAGATGCAGATGGCAATGTCTTAGGTGTCATTTTTTATTTTTATCGCTAACATCAGCTCGTGTTTTCTACTATTACAAGTGCTGTTTACAACCACTGAAAAATATGTTGAGATACCAAGTACTCGTCAAGAGATCCTGCTAGTAAGAGGTAGAGAGCAAAAGAGAGAATGAGTACGAGTAATATATAGTGTGGGCGCAAGCATCTCTACATATACAGAGCAGATAAGAAATTCCTCATCATAGTTGTTGCGAGGACGATAGCTCGTATAGTCAACGACATTTTTTTCATCTATCTAGAAGCAAGAGGCGCTCCTACTTTTCGACTCTGAGAAAACTGCAATCTTACAAGAAGTTTCTTTGAATTTTCAGTCTAATAACGACGCATCAGCTTTGCACCAGGCGATGGGTTTTAACATTTTTCATGTTAATAAAGTGACGCAGCTCCTGAAGCCATGCATTTTCAAAGATTGCATTACTTTGTAGTAAAAAAAGAGATCCTCGAAGCTTTTATTTTTTTGTTCCACCCTCGCAAAAAGTCAGCTCAAATAAGAACAATGAAAATTGAAAATTTCAGAGCAACTATTACTAAAGGTTTACACTCCTACTCGCCGGCGTCCACATATATACACATTTACAGACATACGATTGAGACGAATGTCGTCGGTGTTTTCCAATTTTACTCTATACCCTCGTGTACTCGTCTACACATGCTGCGGAGGATCTCGATGTAAATGGATAAATCTCGTTTTCTTAAACCAACATTAATCCCGACGGTCCCACATTCATTCGCTACAAGCGCGCACACGTATTCGCAGGGCATCTGGAGAATGGCTTACGGTTCGCCCAGCTTTATGCCGTCGCATTTTTTATATTATTCTTTAGAAAGAAAAAAAGTAACAAACAGCTAAAGAAATCTTTTTTCTCCATACGTTTTTGTTTATTTACCAACCCTTGCTTCACATGCATGTGTATAATTTATTACTCATATGTTATTCATTCTTTGTTTGTGGGTCAATTTCTTAGCTTCTCCTCTTTTCAAGTATGTTAGACATTTTATTATCATGAAGTTTATTTAATTCGTTTCTATGCTCACAAACTCAATTTTGGTTTCCTGAATTATTTAAAGTTGACGTTAATTGTAAAGACGTTTGAGTGAAATGCAGCTTGAAAAAGGATACAATAGAGTCGATTTTCCATTTGCGTTCGGATAATATATGACAAATCAGTTAAAGAACGTGATAGCGCATTATAAGTAAGGGCCGTATAACAAATCTGCCTCGACATTTTTCAAAAAAAAACGTTCCAGTCTTTTCTACCTTTTTTTGTCGAGCATCTCTCTCACTCTCTTTTCTCGCGTGTCCTTGCGGAATCTTGAGAGAAACTCCTAAATTTATAACCGCCTTTCTCGCGAATATAATACTCCAAAGCGAAAGGCGCGGGTCGACGTCTTTTTCCTTTGCAGCTCTTTCGCTCGCTCGCGCGACCACAGTAGCAGCAGTGGCAGCACAATGTGTGCTCAATGGGAAAAGCAGTCCCAGTGGTATCTTGTTTAAATGTGTGATATGAAAACCAAATTTCCCAGTTCGGTTTATTTTCAAGAGTGTGTTTTTCTTCTCAAAATAGCGATACGCAGTCCATCTTATGTACAGCTTCTCTTCTCTCCCTCTCTCGCGCGTCTGTCTGCCTCTCTCTCTCTCTTCTCTCTATCTTCTTTTCTGCACCGTCCTTGTATTATTACTATCTTTCTCTCTCCCTGGTGTACTTTTTCCAAGTCATCCTTTCTCATAGAATGCACGAAGTATATATAAAAGCAATACTTGTATATGTGCGTCTGTGTAAGAACGTGTATGTATGTATGTGGAAAAAAGTAAAAGAGAGGCTCTCGTTGCTATCAACAACGTGAGATAGAGCTGGTATTGCGCGTGTTGTCCCTCAAGAGGGAAGTAAAGAACGCCATGTACCGCGAGCTATACCCGGCTTCGGGTCCCTTTCCATATACTCCTATGGTACACCTCCTCCCTTCGCGCCCACCGCCAGTCGTATACTCTATTATCGCTATCTTCTAACTTCTGCTTTATTTTTCCCAGACACATACCGAAGCGATGGATATCGTCTATATAGCAGCAGAACCCGAATAATGTTTAGTCTTCCAGCCACTTGCTGCATATACTACTACAACTACTACTGGCACACGATGTTGTCGCGTTGTCGCGCGCGTTACCTTCGCAACTAGTTACACGCGCCTGCGAAACACGACTTTTGACTGTTTGCACAGTGAATCTTATTCGATCGACAAAGTTTATTTAGCGCTTGCACGCGAGAATCGTGTGGCTTAATTTCATTAAAGTCAACGATGCTCTCGGAACATCACTTTCATTTTATTATAAATTAAATCTGCTATGTCATTATTTAGGGGGTTGAATAAAAAAGTTTTAACTTTTTGTATTCTTTACGACAATATTAAGCATAAAAGTATTATATTGTAAAAGTAGTCTTTCCATATCGTCTCATATGTACTTGTGAAAGTTCGAGCAAATCCCAAGTATCAATTGAAATTGATCATTTTGCAAGTTCATATTTAAAGACAAAGAAAATTAACCTATCGAATGACTGAATCAGGCACCACAAGTTTTAATGAAATGTTTCCAATTCATTAACTATTTATCGTTTAAAAAAGCTCTGCACTCTTTGGTCGTTACTTTTACATGTTATAAAAGAGAACGGCGACCACGGCATGTCGCTGCTACAGTCAGAATCGACTGCTCCTCACTTGTTAACCTAAATTTCTGACTTGGGTTATTAACTGAGGACGAGCCATATTTGGATCAATTAGAGTTGTTTAGAAGAGGAATGAACAACGGTCGTTTATGGAATTGTGTAAAAAAACCCTTCACAACCGTTGTCTGTGATTTATTTGAAATAATGGGGTGATTCTGGTAAACAGGAATTGTTAGTGGATGTTGTTTGTATCACTATTTGTTGAGTTTTTCTGTCATCTAAAACATCGAATTTTATATACTTGTACACGTTTCAATTTCTGCTCCAGCACAGATTTAATCGACGCATTCTGCACATAAAAAGCTAAATTTTTAGAGCATACGATCATCTCCTTTTCCTCAAAAAGGACAACAACCACCTCGATAGAATCGGTTGCTTTCATTGGGATACGTTTTTTCGATTCAGTTTGATAATTGCGTGAATTCATTCTTATAAACAACTTTGAAAACTATGAGAATTGAAACTTGAACAAAGGACTATAATTAAAAAAAAAAAAAATATCAAACGGCTTTTCAAAAAAGACTGAAAAAAGAGCGAAGAAAAAATGTTCAAAACTTCGTCTAAGTAAATTGTTACGTATAATAAAACGGTCAAACACATCAGGGGTGGGCACGGTAAGAAAAACGTGATTACATTTTTCACCACTCTCCGAGATTTTCCGGCATTTTCTTGCTCTTTTCTATCCAGATGCGTAAAAGAGAAGGCAAAGAAAAAGTCGTAGTCGTACGAATAGGCTCT